TCTTAGGCTACATTTTATTAGCCTCAGCTTTCTCAAATTATAAAACAAGAACACCACTGAATAAACTAAATAGCAAAAAATTATTAACCATAACTTTCACTACATTCAATTTAAAACGCATACGGAGTGCTGCTCAAGACGCGAAATGTCGTTATGGCATTCCTCGAACAAAATAACAACCATATTTGCTTTTTAATAATACTGAATGGACACTGAAAGGGACCATACATCATTTCCTAACAACAATTTTTGAATAATAAAAAAACGAATCGGCATCCCTTGGGGGAAAAAAAACAAAGGAGCAGTAAAGCAAAAAAAATTATTTTAATGACAACATAAAAGCAAGAATGCGTCACTTGAAAAATCACAACCACCAAAAAATCACAAAGCGCCAATTTTCAGGAAAAAGTACGACTTAAGAACAAAGAAAAATGTGTCCCTAACTTTTATACAAGCCTAAACTAGAGAAAGAATCGCACTTTATGATATTTTTTATAAGTCCCTACTAATAAAACAACAAGTCTTATTAGATAATAAAACTTTGCATATGCGTAATATTTGCAGAAGGTTGCACAACGCTTCTAACTCGGTTATGTTATGTTAAATTTGCCTGAATTCAAACATATAACGGGTTGCATGTTAGTTTAATGAACAGTATTAAAATAGTTTAAATAAATTTTATCAATTAAATAGTTATTGAGAAAAAAATTTAAAACAGTGGTGTTTTGGAACTTTTATTTCTTGGGAACAATTAAACCAATAACATTCAGATTTTAGTTTCAAAAAATGAATGAGCTAAAAAAATATGTATTTCTTAAAATTACTTTACGCAATAATAAATTACTAAACCATAATTAAAAGATTGTGGTTACTCCAAAACTTCTTCATCAATGGTGTAAACTTACACTCATTCTTTGCAAGCGATGTTGAGGGTGCCTGATGGAATATAGTTTGATTTTCTTTAAAACCCACCCAAAAAATTCTTTTTCTTTTTTTATGTTCTCTTTCAGAGAGATTGGAATGTTGTAAGGATAAGAAACGAAAAAAAAAATACTAATTAATATAAATTGTCTTTAATTTTTTATAATTTTTTTTTAATTTATGCAATTATTTAATTTATGAAAACTTAATTTACTACACGAATCTATATCTCCACATAAAATAAAAATAAAGTTGTCTCATATTGTAGTTAGATCGTTATGTTAACGTGTTTGTTGACAGGAAAATCGCACGGTAGAATCCAGTTTTCCCTTACTGACTTCCGTATTTTTTCGTTGTCATCAGCTAAAAATTAAAGGTATTAGGTATTGTTATAATTCTTATTTTAAGTTATCATTTTCCTATAAAACATTTTTATAATTTAAAGGTCTTTATCTGTAACATTTATTTTTCTTATTCAACTTTTCTTACTGCGCAATTATTAAGTTTTTGATTTTGATTGTTTTCTAAACTAAGATTTTAAAACTAAGAGTTTTTTCTTTATTATAACGTTTACATGAATTCGTTACTATAACGTTATTACATTATATTAATTTATTACGCTACATTTTTAAGATAAACTCATTTGAATCGCTTACACAGTTTTATAACAGAATAAACATTTTTACAATTTATAGTATTTTTTCGTGAAAATTACATCAATATACTAAAATAAATCAAAGTTAACGAGATTCGTTAAATAATTTAGAACTTAGCAATCAGCTTCAGGCACTAAGTGTCTTATGTACAAACTGAATGTAATAAATATGAAAATAATAATTTAACATGTTAAAAAAAATTTATCGAAAAATATTAAAAATAAAAATAATTTATACAAAATAAGATTTTAAAAAAAAATTTTTTTACAGACAAAATTGGACACTCGCTTTAATTATATTAAACAGAAGAAAATGGACGAAATGTTTCATGGTATTTTATTTCAAATGATAAAATATTGTCTTTCTTTTTTTTTTTTTTTGAGACACATTGATACTGTGTTTATTTTATTTATGAATAACTAACTTCTTAACTGTTAACTATTAACTGTTTTTGTTTCATTTGTGACCACCACCATAAGCTAATATTTTTTCTGCAGCTTTCATCCAAAAAAGATTATGTTTGAAATTAATTTTTTTTAAACACTATTGAAGAATTCTTTACTGAAAAAGCAAAGCATTAATTTTACTATTATATTATTAAAATGTTCAATAATTTTTTATATGGACTCCTTACCCTCCCAATATTTTTATCTCTCAGTTCTATTATATTTAGATTTATCCCTGAAGTTACAAGTAAAGCCACAATTTTTATAACTTAAAAAATCCTAAAAAATAACAAAAAATGCTCTTGAAAACAGGAAAAGTCCTATAAATGAAAATAATAAACCCCTTTTCAGTAAAAATATTGTTCAGAGGTTCAATATAACAATCATCAATGTAGTTTTTGCACAATCTATACGTCAAGCATAACATGACAAAATCGTCTTTATAAAAAATTGACACAATTTAGAATTTTTCTATTTTCCAAGAATTTATAAAAATGCCCTAATATTTAAAATTGTCTAAAACTTTTAAGATAAATCTAAAAAGAAAAAAAATACTTCCAAAATCTCAAAAAATGGCCGAAAATTAGAAAAAAAAATCCAAAAATGCCTTAACCTAAAAAGCACAGAATTGAAAAATGCAAAAGTCACCGAAATCTGGGCCTTCGTTATTAACAGGGATGCAGAATATGTCCGATTGCAGAATATGTCTGCTTATTTGCAAAAAGATTGATTATTTTTAACTTTGATGAATGTAAATCGAGGATGATTCATAACAATTTTCTTAATTTATCTGAAATATTGAGAACTTTTAGAGACTTCTAATTATTGAACGGGACATATCATATACCCACAATCACGAATGACACCCAAGATAAGGTCTTTGGTACAGAAAACGCAAATTTTCTAAGACGAATTACTTTAAAAAAATTACTACAATATAATATAAGTACAAAGAGAAATGTTTCATAAGTATAAATTTTACTTTGATTAAAAAAACTGAAAATTATAAAAAAATATAGTTAGGAAAATGTTTGTGTTAAACAAACCTATTACATGCTAAATTTTAAATTTAGCTTGCTCAAAGTAGAAACTACTATGATCTTTACTAAGATTCAATTTTATGCTGACAATCAACTAAGTCAATTTGATACAATTATGACAATAAAGAAACATAACCGTGGAAATTGTTTTTCAGTTGGAATAAGGCTGGCAAATCAGCCAGGTTATTCTCTATCACTTAAGACACCCATCTTTTTATTGACTTTTAGGAATATTGTTGAACTATAATTTTCAAGAAAATAGAATTTTAAATATATACACTATTTATCAACTTTTAAAAGACTTTGCAGTTCAAAAACTTAATTATAAAGAAAAAGGAAAAGTTTCATGAATAAGTTTTAGTTTCTTAAATAATTACATCATTCAATATGAATCACACAAGTTACTTATTATAAAATAAAAAAGAAAATTTAAATATTTTAATAAGATGTCAAATTCATTAAAATTACAAACTATTTAACAAAAGAAAAATTATGAACAATAAATAAACTGAACAATATTTTATATCAAACAAAAAATGCATAACAAAGATAAAATTTTTATAACTAGGACTGTCATGCAACAATTTTTTTTAAAAACTTTTTTATCTAATTTCAATATTAATAAGATTTTTCTAATAATAAATAAAAAACTCATTCTCTTTGAGAATTATGTGCAAGTCAGAAGAGAATTGGCATTAATTATGGTGCTTATTCATTAGAACAGTTATCTATAATTAATGTATTATTGATGCAGGGTAATTTAATTCATAGTGATAATAGGTATTACTGTTATTGGGGTAATATGTGCAGTGGTAATAGGTACTCAATGTACTAATAAAAGCAAGCGAGAAACAGACACATTGTTACAGTTTAAATGAATTACTCTGATCTTACAAAAAGTATAGAAGAGTAAGAGAACAAAGCAAAAACTTAGAAATTTTTAACCTATATAAAACCACTCTTTTAATTAAAACATATCTTCATCAATAAGTGCAATCAGGGTTAGGTTTTTGACATGACAGGTATCAATATTTAATTAAGACAGTTCAAAACCCAGAAGAAATTATAATATGTGTGAAAAAAAAATCATAAAGAAATTTCTTTTAAGTAATTAAAAATACCTACAAATAAAATAATATAAGTATATAAAATTTTTTGAAATAACAAAAGTCGAAAGTTAAAACAATCAAAACTCTTGATTGGGTCATAAAATCACAATGTTAAGTTTTTTTTTTATAATATACTTCAATCCAAAAATTTATTAGAAATAGATATATATGAAAATAGGAGTGTGCTAATGGATACTAAGCTATAAATATAATTCACAGTAATTAGTCGAAATTATATTTTGAGCAAAAGTAAAAAGTTAAATTATAATTTCCCTTCACAGTTTTAGTTTATATCTGTCCTACAAATATGAAATTGTATCATAGAAGTAGTATTTAATATTTGACACAATGTACTACTTAATATGAATAATAATATTTATACCAATATACTATTTGGTTTTAGACAATAACGTTTTATCCGTTAAACCCTTATAACATTTCCGAGCCTGACGGCACCGTTTTGGAGAAAAAAAACACTAGTTAGTTGACCACAGATGTCAGGCATGTAAACATCTCAATTTACTGGAAGAGCGTCGGAAGTAAGAAAGTTCTATAGTTGTAATTATAACCATAACTCTACTAAATATGCGCTTAATATAAAAGTTAAAGCGCTTGTCAGTTGGGCAAAACAGATTTTTTTTTTAAAACATAAGAGTCTGGGAGTGAAGGTAGCATGGTTATGATGATAATTTTAACATAGTGTAGGATATAATAATTACAGCATGAGTTAAATGCTTATTAAATCTCTCAAAATCAGTATCAGATGAATAGAATTTATGGTTCTATAAAAGTAATCTTTAAGATATTTGATTATAATAAAGAACTTACTTTATCTGGTGAAATAGACATTCCCGGGTTATGGAGTTCATCTAAAGTTGGACGGTTTAATTGACCATGGACGGACATAACATTTCTGTAATGATCAGCTCTAGGTAAAGCTTCTCGAGTATAATGTCTTAAGCTGCGGACATTGTGTGTATCATATCGATCACCATCGGAATCAGCTGTATTTTGTTGATCTGTCAGAGGTTGACGTTCGGCAACATCAGTATCGTTTGCAAATTTGCATTTAGGTGTATCAGCTGCAAAATCGACTTTTGCTACTTGAAATCGAGAATGTTTTGGATCGGTAAGAGATGTTTTACGCGTCATTTCAATCCAATCATTATTTCGAGGCAATAGTTCACTTTCGGGTTCTGACATATCAGCCATCTTCTTCGAATGTAAACACCGGTCTAATGACTTTTCGAGTTTCCGCCACTACGGCGAGTAGATTCACGGAGCAACTTCAATGCGCAATCGCTGACGTATTTTCTCTTCATTTCACTTCTATTGCAAAATGAAATAACCACGACTAGTAAACTTATGATGTCATTAGGTCCTATTCCTATGCATTGAGAGCCTCATCCAAAGTATAAATCTGTTACCAAATTTAATTTTCCTAATGTTACGAAAAAGTTTAATCAGTTCCGTTATTCTTGAACAAGGATGAACTAAATCGTAACAATGAGTGTTTTAAAAACGCTCGTGCTGTTAATTTGCACCAAAACTCTTGAATGAGTTATCGTTTTTAAATTCGTAAATTGTAAACAGGTTACTTGATTCCAAGCGAATGAATTAAACTCAATCAAAAAACAAGAACTGATTAGAAAACCAATTTGTTGTTTTTAATATTCCAAATTCAATTAAATGAATTAGCATAAAATAGTGAAGATGAAATTTAAAACAAAAACCACTGGTTTCATATTTTTCAAAATTTAACGAGAAAAGGAATAGTTGTAGTTCAAAATTGATATTTTATAAAGATCAAAAAAATTACTAGAGATTTGTTACAAACTTTTGAAAAATAATGAATTTAAAAGAGTTAAATAAAATTAGTATCATCAATTTAAATCAAGTGACTGAAATCTGTCATTTAAATTTTAATTTTAACGACCTTATTTAAAATTAAATCTCTCTAGCTTATGTAAGGGACTTCTAGCTAGTGCAAAAGCATGAATTGTGGCGAAATTTTCTCTTGACTCTCTCCGTACTCTTGATTTTCTAAAAAAACTTTACTTTTATTTGTACTCCAATTATTTACAAAGTTATAGCAGTTTTTGTGCAAGATGATAACAGTAGGTAGACTAAGGATTTTAAGTCTATAAATGAGTTTATCTTAAAATCATATTTTTTTTCACATTTTACACCATTTTTAACACGATATCCATGTTGTTGTTTTTCTAAAAATTGTGTATTATTTGTCAGAAGTGTTTAGGGTTATAGCCCTCATTTTTCGAACTACAAACTAAGATAATGTAGGGTAGGGTTTCATTTTTTATGCATGATTTTGCGCAAAGAAAAGTGAGAAAGTTCCTAAAAATTTGCTGTGTTTTAAATACGTTGATCCCTAACTCTGTAATATATGCACTTGCTTTCAGGATAATAATTCAAAGCATAGTTGATAGCCTTCTATATGAAATCCTCAAAAGATTTTTTTTCTCTTAGGCGATAGAAAGTTTTTACTGTGTTTAGCGTAAATGCAGAAAAGAAAATTCCTTTTTTTTTTATTACCTAAAATGGCCATTAAAAATAATAACTTTTTTGTTAGTTTTGAATGTTTTTACGCCTAATAAAACAAATAAACTAATCTCTTTAAAAAAAATTATATTAATATTTTAAAAAATTTCTAACTAAGTCAGACACCTCAATACAATTTTTAGCTTTCCTTTTTAAACTTAAAACAGCAGTCATTTATAATATATTATATATTTTCATAAATATATTCTAAAAGATTATCAGAATATATACCGCAGAGGCATACATTATTTACTATACAGCAGTTTATGGTAAGCACTGTTTCTAAACAAATTACTAAAAAATAATAATAATAAATAAATAAAAAATTTAATGCTAAGAAGTTTTGAGAACAATATAAAAACTTTGAAAATAATTTGTTTTTTCATGTTAATAAATTTTTTTCACATGAACGTTAAAACCTACCATTATTTAAATTTGATTTTAAATCGGCAAAAATAGAATAAAAGATAAAACTTGCGTCCTTTATCTAACACGAATGTATCTTGCCATAGAAATTGGTTACGAAAAATTCTCAAAATAAGCTGAAGGATTAAAATAACATAAAAATGCTCAAATGAAATAAAATAACATCTTAAAAATTATTTTATGCAATATGTTTAAATTTATATCCCTCGAATAACAACATAAGAATAAAAACTGAATTTTGTTCATTCTCATTTATTATTTTTTATCTGAAAGATTTTTAAAAAAATTAAAATAAATTCATGATTTTATCAATCTGATTTTTTTTAGAAAACATATTGACTAAAAATCTGTATTTACTAAATATGTAGTAGCAAATTCAGATCTGTAATCTTGAGGAAAAAAATTTGCTCCAATCTAAAAATTTATTTTAGTGCACAATATCTTTCAAAACACAATTTTATACACAGATTTTATCACAAAAATTTTATATAGCAGAATTTATTATCATTTTATACAGCTACAAATCGAAATTCAATCATTAAATAATTAAAACTCCTATCTATTTTAGCAATGTAGAATATCGTTAACAGCTTAGTATGGTTATATAAATCGATCAATTGTTGTTTAATAATATTTAAATAGTTTTATATCTTAATATGGGTGAAATGGTTCGATATTTTTTCAATATTATGTGAATTGTTTTATCAACTTAGAAAAAAGTAATGATAATCTTCCTTTTTCCGTTTCGATATAAAACAACAAGCCTGAAACAAAAAATACAGGCAACTAAGTAAACTTTCATGAGAAGGAAAAAAGAAGAAAATATAGTAAAATTGAAGGTTAGGGTTTAGTTACTAGTAAGTGAACTTTAATGAGCCGAAGGAAATATGGTGAAATTGTAATGTCATAGCACCAAAATTTTAACTCACTATAATTAACATCAGAGGAGCCCTGTCGAACATACTGGAGCTAACAAAACTCAGAAAAAAAAATATTTCAGGAAAGAAAATTAGAAAACATATTTGCATAGCAACTAGTTGAATTTATATTATTGCAAAGTTATCTACGCTATCAACTACTATCAACGCTTTTTATTGCTCCAATTTTGAAAAAAAGGTTTGATAAAATTCCAAATACCAATATAACTATGTGAAAATCGCAATTAAATAAAGAACAACAATATGTATTTTAATAATTTTATATTTATTACAAAAATTCAATTACAGAAATTCAAATTACGGAAATTCAATTTAATTTATTTATTACAGAAATTCAAAACATTAAAACTCAACAGCAGTATATAATTTTATAAAATCCCTGTTATTAATTATAATGTTATAAAAATAAGAAAAAAAAGCTTGTTGAACAATCCCCTAAGGAAAAATTGAGGTATTTCTAAGCTATTTTTCAAAGGTAAAAATGAGGTTGTTACTTACAATACATCGTTAGGTAAAAAGGGTGCAAATGAATACCTCAAAATTTACCTCTATATTTACCTCAAATATGCCTACAGATATATATATATATATATATGCCTCAGAAAACAGTACTAACGGTCAAATATATTGTANCTCCAATACAATATTTTTGTAGTAAGATTCTACAGTGGGCAAAAAATATATATATATATATATATATATATCAACCTAAGATGTTTCATTTAGTACTTCAGAGGTAATTATGGATCTACTTAAAGTGTATTTTTTGACAGTTGTAAAGGTAATTTTTTACAAATATGATATGTTTTATATGCTACCACATGTTTCTACCTCAAGTATATATTTTTATGCTTGAAGAGATATTTTTTTATCAACTTAAGGTGCGTCATTTTACACATCAAGTTATTATTATCAAGTTTTTTCTTCATGATTTAAATTAATTGGATGAAATAAGTTTTCTTCTTCAGATAAATGGCACTACACTTCTTTCATTTCTATTCAATCCTCATGGCTAAAAGCGTTTGAAAGTGAGACAGGTACCAGAGCTACAAAATAAAATACACTGAAGAAAGTACTACCATTAACAACCTTCCTTCATAAAAATTTAAATATATAATTAGAATCTCATTAGGAAATTTTTAGACTTTTTATTTCTCCATAATTGAACCAACATTTTTCATTATGGTACTTATAAGTTTAATAATTAGATTTTGTTTCTTTTTTTTCTTACAAATCTTTACATAAACTCAACAAGACTAGATTATATTTTTAAACTTTTTGTCAGATTTCATAAAACTAATAATTTTATAATCAATTTTTGATTCTGACTCTGAAAAGGACATCCGTTATTATTAATCACATCAGAGTATCATAAGAAATAGTTGTTTTAATATTTTAACCAATGTAATCATCAAAAGTGTTTAAACAAGAAATAAATTGCCTGAAACAGTGAACAATTTACACCATGAATTACTAATATTTATTTTTGTTTAATTATATAGGGAAATAAAGCTTTATAAATGGTAGAGGTAACTTAGGGGAAAGCTTATGGCAGAGCTAAATGTTCTTCCATAGAAAATAACTGAATTTTAGTCATTCAAATATTGATACATAACTATCGTTCTTTTATTAAACTAAATCTTTAACGAAATACTAAATTTAAGGTCAATAAATAAAAATACCCGGAACATGGTAATTAGGAGGAAGAATAAAATAGGAGAAAAAGAAAGTTGTCAATTTAATTGATTAGGTTCATTCAATCAAAAGGAGGTACGTTTATATATAACTGAAAAACGTAATTTGATCTCACCATAAAAAATCAAATGGACATTAAAGCAAAAAATTTAAAACAACTAAAGAGATTAGAGAAAGAATCAGGTAAGTAACATTTTAGTGAATTTGAGTAAATGAGCTTCAAAGTTTATACGTTCCTCGTTTATGCTATTTCCCTTTATATATGTTTTTAGTATATTTGTGAAGATATAACTCATAAAATTTTGGCGGGTAAATTAATTGCAGCTTTTTTTATAAAGGAAGAATTTTAAATAGTTTTTCGTGTTTAATATTTGATTGTTTTTAAGGGAGGATTTTCAATATTTTTCAATGAATACAATTTCGTCTGAAAAGCTAAAATAAACATACATATACGAGGCGCATCCAGAAAGTAAGTTTCCCTAATTTTTTTTAAAAAAAGAACTCACACTTTCAGGAACATATTTATTGGCAGCAAGTACAGCAATGTTTAAGCTATTTTTCAACATAGCCACCACCAGAATTGAGACACTTGTCGTATCGTGGGATCAACTTTTGTATCCCTCTGTCGTAGAACTCTGCCGCCTGTAAATGGAACCAGCGTGTGACAGACGT